CAGCAGGCATACATCTGTCATTGTTTTCAGCTTTATGGACCAGAGGAGAACCCAGAGAACTGTGATGTTACCTGTGATATCAGTTGGAATTGTTTGTCATATTTGGGGTTTCTTATGATTTGCAGTGACAAACTAGAGCAGAACTGTGACATACATCAGTTTCAGCTAAATGCCTAAAATTGAAATGTGCATTAAAATGTGTCAAGAGGGAGAAATATACTCCCCCTTTTCTTTAAGGTTCAGGCATTTTTGAACATACCTAGCAGACCTAGACAAAACACCAGGTAGTAAAGAACATGCAGGACCACAGATCCATTGGGTTGCTCTAGACTGGGTTCCTGGTCACAGGAGAAATTATAATCATAGTCCTCCAGGTACATTATTGTTGGGTCCTCCGATATGTTCATACTGCTGTGTAAAAAGGAAAAGAACATTTAAGGATTACTTTGTTTAAATTCCATTGAAAAAAATATATACTTTAAAAATGACACAATAAAGTCAATTTGTTTCAGTTGTAGTCCTTGATTTAAAGAGAGAAGAGAACCAGGTGTGAGTGTGCCATCATACTATCATCAGAACAATTATGAAAACAAGTCAAACTCCAGAGTACAAGTTACAGTGACTATGGTAATCAAATACTTTCAAAGTTTTCAAAATGCAACAGTTAGACCTTCTTCTCAAAATTGTGGTGCCTGCCTTATTCCAGTTTCTGTAATCGCATGTTGATATTTAATACAGTACAGTAGTTACTGTAGTCCTAGTCTGGAAGGCATGAGTTCCTCCAACTATTGTCCTTCAAAGGTAACGTCTGACTGTCTGACTTACTGCAACATCTGCACTTGGGTCAAACCCACTTTCCTTTATTAGTTCATTTAGATGTCTTGGCAAAATACAATTTTTCATTTTCCTTATGCCTTGGATGCTACAGTCTGTCCATTCATAACACTCTGTACCAGATATCATGGGTAACAGAAGGTTAGGCAGAATATATAACCACCAGTGGCAATCCTAGGTTTTAATCCAAATAAAATGTGTTTATTTTTGTCACATGAAAAGCAAACTTGTCTCACATTGTCTTCTAAGTTTATTCAAATCTAAAAACAAATATATTACTTACTATATCAGCACTGAGGCCTTTTGACTCCAGATCCCTTTTTCTTATGATCTTGAGAAAAATCTTCCCTTCATCTGCTCTCTAGTGTAAAACCTCCACTCACAAATATATGTTGCTCCTTTTTACTATTGTAGTTACAGGCCTCTACAACATCATCATGACTGAACTCAATATCTGCCACACTGAACATTTCATAGATATTACAGAGAAGAAGAAACCATTTGAAAAAACATCCACGTGTATATATGAAGGAATTCAGAGGCACTACTGGACTTTCCTGCCCTTTAAGTTGAACGTTTCAGATGTAATCATTCCTTAGTGAGTCATGCCTGTAACAAACATTAAGAAGTTGCTGCTATTCGAAACCTAAAACCATTTTCCAACAACCAGCCTAGACTAAGACTTATGTGTCTATGAATATCAGTAGCTTCCTGCTGTTCTAACCATAATGAAATGCATGTGATCTCTTTTAAACCGCAACTTAAACCTTTTACCTCCACTATCAACATATGCAGAACCACCTGCTGTGACACCCATGCCGACCCTCATTTCCTGTGGCTGACGTTTCCACTCACACACACACGTGCACACATAATCCTCAATTACACACTGTGTTTTTGGATGTAGGAGTAGATCTTGTAAATAGCAACTAAAATGATAAAAATTTAAATATCTCTTGTGCTTACCACATTCTCTGTCCAAATCACTGCCGCTGAATTTGGATCTTCTTATCTTATGTGCACCAAGCTTACATGTCATCCTGTCAACTTGCATTGCATGCTTTTTGTATCAAATGCTGCTGCGCAGCTCATTTCTGGTAAGGTGAACACTGGGTTTGTTGTTTCCTCTGTAAGGTGTCAAACCTGCGGTTTTCAGAGAAATGTCCCATAATGTGCTAATATGTGGCATGAAAAGAGTAGGGGAAATGTATTCTAATGAGGCTCTTTTCAGTTTTTCTTTGGTCTTGTTTCAACTTAGACACATTTCTTAGGTGACATGAACTTTTAATAGCATTCAACTCATCAGCAATTACAAAAGGTTTTAAATCTGTCACTTTTCAGTATTTGCACCACAGAATTGTATACTATACTAAGCATATATTCAAGTATATACTGTATGTGCTTGTTCAATAAAATACATACAGCACTGTCTACTCAACTAATGTCTGCTAGCAACAGAACACACTGTCTTTGTTATGGTAATGACACATCAGAAATAAATAATTGCCTACTTATTGATTTGGTTTGTCTTTAATTACTCTGTGTTGTCATAACAATTGATAAAATGATAAACAAACAATTCTAACTATTCTCCAACTCACAATACGGTAATAAAGAGGGCATTTATGAGTATTTCAAATCCGTTTAAGGTCTCAGCTGTAGTTGAAGAGCTCATGACTTTCACCTAAAATGAGTGCCAGATGTCTTTTACCATGGACCGAGTCCTAAGAACACCATACAAGTATCATTTGGCACTGAGAAGAGATGAGAGGAGCTAACACTTTAATAATCTCATTTGGCTACCAAAAAAATCAACATGATACAGCAAAAAAGAATTTAACTTTCAATATCAGTTGTTGAGCATTAAAGCATTAAGCGTAATACTGAAATTTGTTAATACATGTGAAAATGTACAGATATTGTGCAAATTACATCTAAATGAGCAGTTAAATTGACTGACACAAATAATAGAATCCATTCAGTACAAAGACACTTGAAAAACACAAATATGAAATATACTGTAAATGTGAGACATACAGCACACAGGTTTGGTAAGCCAAAATTAGTACCACATCAACTGCTTTAAATCCATGAAAAATAATGACCTTTGAATGTTGCTTTCACTTTGACTCATCAAACATGTGAGTGACAATGTTTTCTACACAAAAAGTGCAAAATAAAAAAATACATTTTTCTTTCAAAAATATTTCCATCATCAAATGTGTAGAAAGAAGGAGGGGAAAGCATAAATGTTTGACTCACATCTGGTACAGACAAAATAACTTTGTGGTTACAGGCTGTTACAAACAGTTTGAAGTCCCACTGAGCTTCGTCCAATGTCAGCTGCAAAAGGAGGGAGGGGCGCTGCAAAGCACTGGGAAAACAGCTGAGCTCACACAGAAGGCAATGATGCTGTTTAGAATACACTAGAATTATTTTAAAACTGATGGGCCTCCACATGTGATATCTTATGGTCAAAACTAAATATTGCAATGCAAATGACAAGTGCATTAAGTACAGGTACAGGCAGCTTTTTTAAGGTTAGACATTGCTGATGAATAACAGTGTCACAGATGGAAACTGGAAGTAACAAATACAGCAATTCATGCATATGAACCAGAATAACATGCAGGTAATGTCTATAAAACATGCCTGCTCTCCTTCTCCTACATCAATACAGTGGAGGTGACAGAGGACCTGGATGAAAATGAGCTTTTCTTGAATGAGCTGTCTGATATATCTCTGACAAAGGGAAGGTGCATTCCAGGTACACACTTTTTCATCAGCTGTAAGGCTCGTTTCATGAACTTCTGTCCTACAAAGGCGTAAATGATGGGGTTCAGGCAGCAGTGAGTGTAAGCGATGCACTCGGTCACTGCTATTGACATCCTTAAAGCTCCGTCAGTGGTGCAGTCGCTGGAGAATATGTTCTCAGTCTGCAGGAATCTCAAGAAACGGGAAATGTAATATGGAGCCCAGAACAAAAAAAAGACAGTCACTATTAAAATGATCAGCT